GAGAGCACATTTGGGGGCCCTTACTCCCCTAAACAACTATGTTTCATGATCTCGAGGGAGCTTGCCCGCCCCCCCCCCACCCCCATGCACTGGGCCCATCACAGCTCCCCCTCAACGCAGGGAGCACCTGCTGACACCCAGCCTCCTGGACGAGCAGCTCCTGTCTGCCAGGGCTCACCACAGGGGCTCGGACGCTTTTGTAGAACACCCTGCCTCCCGTCATCCCCTTCTTCCCCCCCGAGTGGAGCAATGTCTTCACAGGGGTGCTGGTGTGTCTGAAAAATGCCCCAACGGACTCCCAGCAGCTCCCTGCTCAGCTGTCACCGCGAGCAGGCTTCCCTCAGGAGGGGAAGTAAGAGTAACAGCACGTAGATGGGACCTACTGTGCCCCAGGCCTGGTTCCAAGTGCTGTGTGTTTACTAACTTGTTTAACCTCAGCACCACCCTATGGCGGAGGTTCCATTATTAGCTCAGGCAGCTGGGAAGAGATCTGGCTGAGAGTGGAGCAGGCAGCCGGCTCCGGAGGCCATGTCTTTAACTCTGGGGGGGCCCTGACCGGTGGCGCATTGGGTTCGGTTGGAGCGTCTTTCTGTGCACCGGAAGGTTGCAGGTTTGGTTCCTGGTCAAAGGCAATGGATTAATGTTTCTCTCTTCCCCCTCCTCTCTCTCTAAAATGAATAACAACGGATCCTCCCGTGAGGATTAAAATGTAAAAAGCTCCTAGTGGGAATGGGAGAGTGGTCAAGCCTGGCCTTTCTTCTCCCTGTGTCTCCATTTGAGCCCTGAGTGGGAGATGGCCTTCTTCCTACTGCTGGATTCACTGTGACTACTTTCCATCCTTCCTTATGTGGGTGTCTGTGGTCTGGAGCCATATTCGGCAGGTGTGTGTGTGTGTGTGTGTGTGTGTGTGTGGACATGATTACACTTCATCACATGGGCACTGAGGTCCTCCCAGTAGGGTCTCCTAAGGTGGGTGTGTGGGGAGATGGAAGAGGACCCAGTGCTGTGTGGTCAGGCATGTGATGCCAGTGCCAGGGAACTGGGAGTGCAAACACATCTGGGAAGTAACTTTCCACTCACCTCCCTCACCCCCAGTGCGTCTTTCCTTGCTTCTAATCTGATCTTGGTATTTATGGAGACGATAAACAGATCACGCCCTGTGCGGATGGACTGCAGGAAGACCCCACTGCCCCGCTGATCTCATTACCCCGTGTCTTGTCAGCAGATCTGCCGCCCTGCTGCTCATTTAGGCTTGGGGCTAATCACATTAATTGAAATATTAAACATTCGCAAAAATGAATTATAATGAACTCCCCTCACTCCTCTTCCCAGTCAGCCATCGGAGAGTCAGCTGCCCGCAGCATAATCCCCCTCTTAGTTTGTGGTCCCAGATGGAAGGCTTCAGCCTTAGAGGAGAGGCAGGGTTTAGAGAAGAGGTGGGGCCTCTCACAGGCCCTCTTTGCTGGGTGACTGTGGGCACGTCTCTGTTTGCCTTCAAGCCCCCAGGGAGGGAAGCCCTGGGAGGTACAGACTGGGGGGGGGGGGTGAGGGGAAGGGAGGCCCAATGACTCAGAGGCCCATTCCAGGAGGAAACGAGGCTTCAAAGCTCCGGGTCCCCCAGGCACTTTCTCTGCCCACCGTCCCCAAGCCCTCCCTCCCCGCCTTTCTTGTTCCACTGCACTCAACGCTAAATTGCCCTACATAAAGAGATTATTTTTAATTGAATTTATTGGGGTGACATTGGTTCACAAAGAAGATTATTTACTTTATAAAGGGAGAACTCACCCCTGGGTTTAGACTTAGGAAGTGAGAAATGCTGAATAACTGGGCTATTTTTCAGAAAGGGCAAAATGTAGTAGTGCTATGTGTGGGCAGAGTGGCTAGTCACCAAATGCTTGCCGGCCTCACCAATTAAAAACAGAGCGAAGACATCTGCAGCAGAAAGCACAAAAAATTGATACTATAACCTTCCTTCCCTCGAGTGGTTCCTACCTCAAATGGAGTGTGCAGCAGGGAGGACTGAGACGCTGTTAAGAAAACAGAGGTAGGCTCTCTCATTTACACACATGGGTATCTGGGATTTGGGCCATGAGAAATGCTCAGTCAAGAAAGACTTGATTGGTTCTCAAAGCACAAGCAAATCATAGACCAGAATAGGAGGAAATTAATTACTTTTGGTTTGGGGGTGAGGGATGAAGAGAATAGTGCATGCAATGCAGGTGTGTGTGGGTAGATTTGCCAGTCAAGACCAGCAAATCTATATAATTTAAAAATTTCTAGGAGCCACATTGAAAAAAAAATAGAAAAAAACAAGCCTGCAGGGAGGGGAGGACAGAGGGACCCTGAGAGGAAATTAAATTTTTTATTAAAAAAAATATATTGTTGCCCTAACTGGTTTGGCTCAGTGGATAGAGCGTAGGCCTGGGGACTGAAGGCACAGGTGGCTTGTGGTGACCACACTGAATGGTGCAGGTCCAGAGGCTCCACCATTCTCTACTCTGGGGGGTAGAGGGTGGAGAGAGACAGGTCTTGGCCAACAGGAACCATCACCTCTGATTAATCTCTGCTCCTGCCTGAAAAAAAATCACTTCCGACAGATGGCAGCTTATCTACCTCTCACTCTACTAACTCTCTCTCCAGAAAAACACAAACAACCAAGGGGATTACTAACTGGATGGGGTTCTTGGGAACAGGCCAGTAGCCACGACCTAATCTGCTTCTTTTGGGTTTTTCTGGGCTTGGGAACTGCCAACATTTTCACTTCTTCTTTTAAAATATGTTTTTATTGATTTTAGAGAAGAAGGGAGAGGGATGGAGAGAGAGGGAAATGTGGATGAAAGGCTGCCTCCTGCAGGCTCCCCACTGAGGATCGAGCCCCAAAGCCCAGGCCTACGCCCTGACCTGGAATCAAACCGGCAACCTCTGGGCGCATGGGATGACGCTCAACCAACTGAGCCATGTCGGCCAGGGCAACATTTTCACTCTTTTCCTCAGGTTTTGCCAAGAGGATAGAGGCAGACCACCGAGAGACCCCAAGGCCAAGGCCTAACGCAGGGCTTGCTTCTCGGGCTCTGCCCTTGCTCATTGGGCAGCTGTTCACGGATCCCCCTTTTGGGCTCTTCTCTGGCTGGAAGAAGACCGCTGCTGGCAGGCTCCCTGGGGGCGTAGAAAAGCGCATGGACCGCCAGGCTCCTGCCCTTTCCAGGCTGCTATTTGCAGCTCTCCG